CGAGGGTAGGACTGGTGTACTGGAGCCCCCATGAGGTGGGTGAGGGGTTCCAATTCACTCATTTCACCCTTTAGCACTGGCTGGGCAGCCCTACAAATGAGTTCCCTCCTCTGCCTCCCCCCCACCCCCCATTCTGAAAACAGTGAGCATCGGCAGAGAGCTGTGGCCATTGCTATGGGAACATGTCTGCTGGCTCCCAGCCTGCAGCTACATTCCCCTCCCCCTGAAACCAACAGTGAACTTCTGTCTGGTTCAGGGTCATGTTGTAACTCGGAATGTTTTGCAGAAATGGTTCAGAGTTACAGCTGGGAGCTGCACTAGTCTCTGCACCCTAAAAGCTAGCTGGGGTATAGCTATGCTATACTGTTGCATGGGCAGTGTAAGCATCTTCTAGTCAAAATCTTTCTTGATTTATGATGCATGTGATAAAATGCAATCTCTTCCTGTCACACTTTCAGGCAGCTGAAATGAAATGCAAGAAAACTCATCACAAATCTTCTGTGTTTAGGATAAAAGAAAAGAGAATATTTATCGGTGTATGGCTGATGCTGGAAAGGGTATTCCTGGACAACCAGAAAAAATGCTAATCTGCTGATAACAATAATGTCTACATTACTTTCCAATGCTAATCTTTCAAGCTCAGCAGAAAAGTGGGCACTAGTAAATAATTTCAGTTCAGAATTTGGATTTTCAAATGGTTTCCTGGGCTAAAAATCAATGCCAACAGTTATCTGCAACTTAAAATCTACTTTGCAGTGGTCCTGACCCTGCAAATATTAAGTATGTGAGTGATTTTTTTTTTAATGAACACTGAGTCCTCAGGGCAGCAAGGACTGTGGTCAGGTAGATAGAGATAATATTTTAATTTATTTTTCTTTCCTTAGTGGCTTTTTCAAAGTTACAGTAGTGACCTTATATATTGGATGAGGTTTTATATATTAAAAATACCACCAGTCTTTTCTCTGAGATGAACCAGTTTGCTTTGGGCTGCATAGTTCTCCAAAGGCAGCTCAGACCCAGACTGTGGCTGGCCTGGTGGGAGGAGTGAGCTATCAGGAGTCACTTTCCCCATTCCCAGCACACTCATTGCAAAGTATGTAGAGACCCCAGTGTATCACATTGTACAACAGCCTTGTCAGGCAGAAATGAGAACATTGGGGTCCTTGACTGTCTTGTTTCCAATAGTGAAGGCATTACTAGCTGTTTCTTTTTAGAGATGTAGCAAACACTGCTGCCAAGCACACACTGCCTATAGTAGGTACTGTATTATGTCTCTTGCATAGAAGTCATGGGCTTGAGGTACTCAGCCTATGGGCACTGTAGCTCTTAAGCTAGATTATGGCTCTTATCATGCTGTTTCATAAACAGTGTATTTTTGACTTCAGGTAGGTATTTAAGTTCTAGGTACATTTAAAAACAATCCTTATTTTTTTATGACAGTGGCCTTTAGAAAAAGCAAGAAAAGGACCCTAAAAAATTGTGTTACAGACCCATGATTATTCCTAAATAGGCATTTTTCCCCCTCATGGAACACTTTAGACATGCTCTTAAGTGGAACATTGGGAATGCACTATATTATATGATCAAAGAAAATTCTGAGGAAATAAAATTAACAACATTGTTCTCACCTTGTAATATACTAATAAACTAGCTTCAGCCAAATCACTGCTTAAGGTAGGTTGTGTTTCTTAGAACTTCATAAAGAACTCTACAAAACCCGAAAAAAGAGAAGAAATATTCCACCCCTGGCCTCTTCCAGCGCTCTGTTGAAGAGGGAATGATTCAGAAGTAAAGCATCACTTAAGTGGTAAGCAGCCAGTAATTGCTTCTTCTTTCCACAAGATAATATTTAAAGCACAAGAGCTAGGCATTCACTAGTGTAATTTTTACAGTGAGGTATTATAACTATGTTCATCTCCTAGAGGAGAAAAGTGCACAATTGCCACATAACTAAAGTTCAAAGGGAGGGAAGGAGGAGAGGGGAAATTGCAAGTAATAACCGCATGGAGGTGAGAGTGCACAAAATTACTACCCAGTACTACTCTAATGGATTGAGATGACATGTGGCAACTCCCTGGAACAGAGGAAACCAGAAATGTATTTGCTAAGAGGCTAATGGAATCACAACTCCAAAAGTCACTGACTAATCTTATGGAATGGGAGTGGGAAGTAAAAGCTGTTTGAGTTACTTGAAGAATCAGTGTTAGAGTAACCAGGGAGTTGTGTTGCTTTTCATTTACTTAATAAAGCAAGAAATGATATGCAGAAGAACAAGACCAGAAGGCCAGCCTCCTTCACAAGTCATAGAAACCCCTTTAAAAATCATATTAAAAACTAAAAATTCACCTGTTGACTTCCTTTTGACTCCCTTAGTGTTTCATCTTTGTTTATAAAATACAGCAGTTGGATATGATTTCATTCCAGAGATAAATTATTTTTGGGGAAGTTATTTCCATTTTGCTGTTCCACGTAATTTAAACATTTTCAGATAAATTTGTTTTAAAGTAATACATTTTAAAACCTACAGGAGCTCTTCTGTTGTTGCAAGTGGAAGATATGCACTGTCTTCTCTATCTTCTAAATCCCTGTTTCCTGGCCTTTTTGAAGATTTATCTTTACTCTATTTCAGCTTCAAAAAATGTGACTTTGATATATAAGTATGCTGGTTAGGACAAATTTATAAGGGATGTCAATTCTTAGACTTCAGAAAGCACTGTGTATAGATATGAAACTGCAGCGTCTTCATGTTTGGCATACTTTAAATTTCTAAACACTCCTTATGTGCAAAAGCAACAATCTGTTCTCAGAGTTGTAACCCACTATGTTTGCTTTTCCTTGTCTTTAATCTCAACCAAAGGTAGTTTTAGTCTAAGATGATATAGCTTTTCTTGTTTATAGAAAAAATATCACAATAAACTAATCAGGCAACTGTGATCCAGAGGCATTTAAATTGAGTATTTTACAATTACCTGTATTATAGGAATGTTATGGCTAATGGGGGATCTGGTATGGGCTACTTTCAAAGATGAGATATCAAACTAGGCAAGCTATTGTTCTCTTCCAGTGAATAAACTCTTAGTCTTAAAAAGCTTTGCCTCTTAGAACCTGATCCAAAATGGTTTTAATCTTCCATTAACTTCACTGGGTTTGGACTGGGGCTTCAGAAACCAAAATTATAAATTGTATGCAGGTAGATTTTCTGTCCTCTTCTATATAAGTTCTTGTATCATCTTCATCAGCATAGCAATAGGTTGCCTTCCAGCACTGAAGCAGGTGACGTGACTGTTAGGGTAACGATATGGATTTTGGGTGTTGGGGTAATGATCTAGATTTTGGAGAGCTCTGGGTGTGCAGCTGAATAAAAGTTTTTCTTTGTCTCAGCAAAAGCCGCTAGTCAAAAGGCTGGATGATATATTAAAAGCAGCTAACTTGGCTAATACTTAAGTAAACGGATTCTTAACAAAAGGATAGGGTGCAAAGTGCATGATGTTTTGGGTAAAAAATAGAATGCAGCCCACCAGCTAGTGTCAGGAGACAAAGCAGAAATATGGCCTTGGAGATTGTGCTGAAGTCAGCAAGAAAACCAGAAAGAACCAGTGAGAAACCGTAAGTGACCAAAAGAAGATAGGAGTCAAAGTCTTACACATGCACTCTTTGCATTTCCTTCATTTACATGTTTCTCTGTTTAGGCAATACCATGCTAAGGAAGCAAACAGTAAACACAGGTGGAGCTTGAGATGGGAGGAAAAATGGTTGGAACCAAAGGAGGGATAAAGGCGGAGTAAATGTTAATGTGTATGAAAAAAGGTGTATAAAATGTGAAAAGAACTAGTGTTCAGGCAGGTCCCTGGTTTGTTTTTTGGGATGTTTGTCCAAAGCTGTTTTGATTCTGAATAAAGCTGTTGTGAGCAATGCGTGCTGGTGTTTGCTCCTAGCTTGGCCTGGCTAATGAGTACCAGGTTCCATGAACAATTGGACCATTGTCTCCCTAGTCGTTGGGCGCTGCATGGAGTTGGGGTCTAACAGTGACTAATATCTGTCATGTAGATTACTCATGAACTCTGGTCCCAGTCAGAGAATTGTATGCAGTGGGATGTTCATCCTGTGTGATTATATCAAAAGCAAGTTTAAAGAAATATACTTGCACTTGGAATGGAAGACCATGAGGCTTTTGATGGTGTTCAGTTTTCATGGGAGTTTATTCAACAGTTACAGAGTGGCCTTCAAGAGAGATGAGCTTTGCCCTTGGGATAGACATTTCCTTGCATTAGAAGAGCAGAGTTGTCAGTCATGGTCAACCACAAGGAGATTTAGGCAATTTTTGAAATAACTTAGGCCAAAATATTTAGCACCTTGAAGGTAATGACTCAAGACTTGATCTTGATGTTGTTCTATGGGAATCCAGCACAGAAATTGGATATTTGACATAGTAGTCTGTGTTGCTGAAGATGCACAGTGCTATTTTATAGTTGGAATATAAGAGTTAATGGTGATATGCCTTATCACATTGCTGTAGTTCAAATGAGAAGAGACAAAGGCATATAAAAATGAAGGCAGATGGGATGGAATCTCCTAGCCACTCAGAACTGCTAGAAAACATAGCTTGCATATTGGCCTGGGAGAGTTTTAAGATCAATGAAGTGTGCAGGACACCCCTAAATTATAAATTGCATGAATTGAGAATGGCTGTGGATATTCCTTAGAGTTTACTAACATCAGAACTGTTTTAAGTAGTGTGGATTTTTCTTAGGTATGTTGTGATCTTTGAATAGTCATGGTTAGACAAGTTGCTATGCCTGGGGGCCAGTGAAGTACAATGGAATATTTAAATCTACTCAAACTGATCCAGGGAGAGATTAAAGGTAGCTGGGATTAATTTTTTTAAATGCTGAAATGTAAAAGCAAGAAATTGATGGAAAACATCTCATTTTGTTCCTGTCTTTACCAGCTATACTTTCAGTCACTAAAACATACAGAAAAACATCCCTGCATCTGTTTTCCACAGGGCCTGGACTAAAGGAAGTTTCATAGATTCATAGATTAAGGGTCGGAAGGGACCTAGTAGATCTTCTAGCCCGACCCCCCGCCAGGGCGGGAGAACAACAAGTTGTTTTACCTGGATCTGAGATTTTGGGGTACCATTACATTACAACTCTTTTTCCCTTTGGGGTAAAAGGGCCTGAGTGGAGTTGAAATTCTCATCCTGTGATTTTCATGAAATAGTCATGTCACTTATTTTGCTTGTCATAGAAATAATGCACTTGATAAAAATTTAATGTCAGTGTTGCAGAGTGGAATATTGTCCCAGAATGTATATTTTTAAATTACCTATAACCAATTGTAGATTATTCAGCAATGCTATTATGTGCATTTGTCTCTAAAAGTTCCTCTGCAAATCTTTCACTGGCACCAATCCAGGAAAGTTATTAATATTATATCAATGACAAAGCAATATATCTAGAGTCAATCAGCTAGAAGCTGACTAGAAAACAATTTCACAACTCATCTTATCTTTTTGGTTTCATTTTGAAATATGCTTAATGTGAATATAAGCTTTGGAGTTTTAGTTTCAAAAGCAAGAACTATCCATAGAAAATTATCTTCAATAAATGTATACAGAAAGTCAAGGTTAAACTAATGTCAGTTTCTCTCTCAGATGTTAAGAGAATACTATTGGAAAAATGATTTTAGCTTTAAAGTTTTAAATTTAGTTTCTTGTAGCAAAAATACCTATGATATTTTTCCATGTTGAAAGTCTGCTTAGGTACAACAGCCTTTTGTAACGGCCTTATTAAGGGCTTCACGTTGTCACTGATGCTTACAGCAGAACAGCTAGCTTTACCCAGCATATGCATTTATGTTACAAAATTATACCTAGGGTCTGATCTTTCTTCCATTAGTATCAATGCTGAAACTCTGGTTCACTTCAGTTGGGCCCAAGTAAAACTTGCATGTATTTCCATAACCCACCTTGAGTCTGATGCATTAAAAATGACTTCCATAGTGTCATTAACTATAGTTTATCTGTATTTCAGAGAACAGAATTGCACAGCCATAAATGAGACTAAAATCACAGAGGTACTGGTATCTTTAAATCTGGAAGGTGCAGCTAAATCAAACTGCTTTTTATCCAGGGTTTTTGGATGTAGATCTTCTCTGAGAGTTGTACTGCCTGTATGCACTATTATACCCACTGCACAAGAAATTTCCTTTCATGCACGAAGAAACTCCAATCTTCAATATCATTTATGTCACAAGAGTTGGACTCTGTATGACTCACAGAGCCTTTGGTGCACAGACACGTTTACTGTTTTGTGTACGGTAAACAGTAATGTTTGAGTAATGTGAAATGCAGGAAACTGAGCCGTGCTGATGGAGGATTATGGATTTGATCTCACTGGGGGGATTGTCTGAGAGAGAGAAAAGAGTAAAAATGGAATAGGGGCCTCAGGATTAGCCATCATTCAGCTCTAACATGAAGCAATAGAAGGGGTTCAGGGGAGTTCAGGAATAACAAGTGATACTATATAGATAAAACTCTGTGACTGACAGCTCCCTACAAATCACAGAGGACACCCTCTCCAAAAAGCGTTTAAGCATAAATACTGGGACCAGCCAGTGACTTGCATAGGACACTTGGGGATACAAAAGTGTTTGTTAGCTATCTTATTACTTCTCTAAACTACAGCCTAGAGAATATCTTATTCATTCTCTAAGCCTGATCAGCAGTTGAACTGGCAGAATGATCTAGAGTGGAATTTAGGTTGTCCTAAGTTACCCTGGAAAGGGTAAGACTTTAGGGATAAT